TGATCTCATTTCAATCCCACCCCATCTCTTTATCTACTCTTGTTAAGTGTGAACAATTCAGTAAACCATTAACCGTTGCCTTGGTTGAAGGGTTTAGCGGTTCAACCGCTTGAGTCAAAGGTTTTCCGACTTTTTCAACATTTTTTTTGAAAAAAAAACGGTTCATAGTATAATCGGAACCGGAGTCTTGACCGGTTCCCAGTTTTTCTGGTCTAACCGTCTAGTCCGGTCCGATTTTGAAAACATTGTAATAAATAACAATAGTTTAATCTCCAATAATTATTGAAAATTTATAGCAAAAAATACACAATTATTGAAAACAAATTTATAATGAAAATACAATATATATCTAATAAAAATACAATAATTACAAAATTACAATAAACACTAAAAATATATTAAATTAGTCAATAAATAGTGTAATTTCAAATAATAGTTTACTCTCTAATAAATATTAATCAATAAATTATAAAAAATACATAATTACAAAAAATAAATCTATAAAAATACAATAAATATGATAAATTAAATTTCAAAAGTTAAATAATAGTTGTTTAATCTCCAATAATTATTGACAATTTACTGTTAAATAAAAAAACATATTTATCAAAAAAATACAATATATAATTACTGAAAATAAAATAAATATTAATTTTAGTATACATATAAATATATAATGAATATACACTATTATTGTAAAATTATTTAGTAAATATTATTTTTTTAAAGTTATATTCTATAATTATTAATTAATATAAGTGAAATTAGCTATTTACAATATTATTTAGTTATTTAAATTATTAAAATATTAATTATTTATTTAATTTAATAATCCATAAAATTTTAATTAGTACTATTATTGCATAGTTTGTCATTAATTTTGTAAAATATTAAATTATTATTAATATGAATATTATAAAATCTATTATAGTTATATTTCTACTTTTAATATTTTTTTTTTAAATTTATTACATAATTTTGTTATTTTAGCTATTTAAAATTTAGTCATGTTAAATATTTAAATAATATGTAAAATATTTAAAAAATTTCATTATTTGAATTTTATTTATTTTAATGTTATTATGTAATATTGAATATTTTGTTATATAATTATTTAGCTATTCTTAATGGTTTGTTATTTAAGATATTTATTTATTGAAATATTTAAATAATGTTTCATATTTTAATGTTAAATTTTTATCATTTGAATAACATTTAAATTGAATAGTTTGTGAAATTATAATTTTTATTGTTACTACATAATTTCATGATGAATTTTGTAAAAATATAGAATTATTAATAATATGAATATTATTAAATCTATTATAATTAATTTTTGTGTTTTGAATAAATGTTTTAAAGTTAGTATATAATTTTATTATAATATTTAAATAATTCTAAAAGTTTTTAATTGACACTTTCTTTATATAGATGCAGATAAAAAATGGGGAGAGGATAAATAGGAATTAGAGATATTTTAGGAGGGAATCTCTCTATTAAATTAGAGATAATTTAAAAGATAAATAAGAGTTAGAGATAATTTGTGAGATAAATAGGAATTAGAGACAATTTATGAGAAAATAGGGGGAAGTGGTGCCACTTGGCTAAACATTAGAAAAACAAATTCATCTTTCTTTATGGTTGTTAGAAATAGTGAAGCTTATGATGTTTCCTTATTGGTTTAATGGGTAATTATGTAGAATAAAAAAAATAAAAAATTCAAGAAAACAGGAAATTAGGAAGGGGGTTTGGAGCAATGAGAGGCATGGTGACATGGACTAATTACTATATATATACACTAGCGGGACCCGTGCAGTGCACAGGAACACTTGAAAACTCAATATGATGATAGAAAGGATTAATTGAAATGAAAATATATCATTTAGAAATGACAATTTGACCTGCATCGGCCATCCCAGTGAAGAGATAAGGAAGACAACAAAAAGAACTTACCACTACTAAGAAATACAACAAAACCACAAACACCAAAGAAAATATAATTATAAAATTGGTAAAACTTCACTGATGAAATTCCCTTGCAGCCCCAATACATTCTTTCCCTTGAATAATTTCACTGATGAAATCAACCTTCAAAACATCAATACATTCTTTCCCTTACTTGAATAACTTCACTGATGAAATCAACCTTCAAAACATCACGAGTAGACTCAGCACCAATTCCTTGTACAAGGATATATACAAGTGTTCATAATACAAATTGTTAACATTTTAAAAAATCCCTTAAGGTTATGTTTGGTTTAAAGGAAAATGTAGGGAAAGGAAGGAAAAGATAGAGAAACCTGTACAAATTTTGTATTTGTTTCCCTACCTTTTCCTTCCTTTCCCTACCTTTTCCTTCAAATCAAATATAGACTAAAAGAAAACTTAAAAGAGAGAAAAATAAAACATATTCATGGCTTGTAACCACTATGCAAAGGCAAACAGATACAACACAATTATCCTATCAAACAATTACACAATAAGCTATGATTGATATTAACTGATTATTAATCTATATTAATTACTAATTATTAATCTATACTAACCTACTTTTTAAACCAACCCAATAAGCTATTTTACCGAATTGTTAACCCAAATTCGGTCACCACGTTGACCCGAATCTTTACTACAGTCATCAGTTGACAGAACGATGCCTGTAGCACATGGGGGCAATGAAAACAGGTTTCGTTTGTTCCATTTAAATACTGTAAGTGACAAAAACGTTTTAAAATGAGATTTAACACAAAACAGAAATAAAGAAAAGGGAAAACATACCTTGAGCGAGCATATATGGTTATAATCTAATTGATATCTCATTCGCCAAACTGATAAAAAGAGAAGAGCAAAACCATACGAACTAAAATCTCACCACCTGAAAAGTACAATGATTTTTTTTGGAGCATACAACTGAGAATGAACTAAACCCATTCCAATTAGTTTACAGTTGTGTAGTTACACTGTTGCAGTCCTTGATGGAACTATGTCAAAAACCAGAGCAAGGAACATAACAAGCTGGATGGAGCAAGAGACCCACCGGTACGTGTGCGCAAGAAATTAATCATCCACCTTATATTCTGTCAAAAACAGAGGAAAATAATGCCTGTTTGTCGATCAGCTGGAACAGGGGGTATCGATTACAACGAAGAATGGTGTTTTGGGAGGAAGATTGTGAGAAGAGATGAATATGGTGAATCCTAGAGACTTACGTTTTTATCAAAATTCATCTTTCCATCTGTAATAGATACTTCCTTCCATCAGTCCATGTATATCTAAATTAGTTTTCCATTACGCTGATTTCTCGCTTTCCATATTTAGCACGATACCTGCCTTTATTGTGAGTAGACAAGTCAATAAACGGGCCTCTACATCGAATGCAAAGAGACTGATGAATTGGAAAAAAAAAATAGTAATAGAAAAGGGGAGGGAGAGAAAACCAAAGAGAATACAGAGTTGAAATAATGGAGCAAGGAAAAATAAATTAACATATACCGTTTTAATATATATATATATAATGGTATCTAAAAATCCCAATTCAAACCTGAGATTTACATAATCCTATTACATCCACACCGTTTAATTTATTGAATCGATTTTGTGTTTAACCTGATTCAATTTGTTCCATGTATAATCTTAATGTGTAGTATAGTTTATCTACTTATATATTTTAATTATTAATTATCTAAAATAATTAATCCACCGAACTCGAATCTAAATATTACTTGATTTGTGCTCTGAGTTAATCAAATTTGCAACGTGTATCAGCACATATAGATTCTAGACACCCCATTCCTCGTTGGTTGATGATCGTACATGATGATGATGATGAAAGGTGATTTGGCCCGACCTCATAACAGGGGATACGTGGACACGACCTAACTAACAGATGACAGCTCAGCATGACCAATCCGTAACAGAACGATCTTGGGTACCCAACTACCCCAAGCTAAAGTTACCTCGAGACAAGGTCACATCGAAATGAGATCGCCTCGACATTAGATCGCAACAAGCACACCTCGATGCCAAGTCACCTTGGTACTCAATCCAATTCGAGACTTAAAGACATCAGTTCGGGGATACCGATTTGCCACTACGTGATGATACCGAAAATCCCTTCGATGGTTCCCGAACTCCACGGGGTCATACCGCATAACAGCTAGCATTATCTCCCCGTTCGGTTCGGGCAGAAGTGATGAACCTTATCAGTTGGCAGTGTTATCCCCCAATTAACACGGAAACAGATCTCATCGTGATGAGGATCCTAGAACCACTCTGCAAAACCCGCGAGGACTCCATTATATAAAGGCTTTACCCCCCGGGAGTGCAAGGTACGCGTAATTTCCCTGCTCTCTAGCTCTCTAACTCTCTACATTCAAAATCTTTTAACTCGCAACCAAGTACTAATTTAAGCATCGGAACGACCTCACCAGATAAACAATTTCGGATTCTCTAATTCACTTTCTACGAATCGACCTAATTCACCGTCTATTGGAAAGCCAGATCACATCCAACAGCTAACAGTCGGATTGCGCAACATCAGTACACGATAACACAACAGACATGAGCATGGTCAAATATAACAACTATTCTCTATCATCGGATCTACCCCAGAGCTTGGATTTGATCACGTTTCAGCCACTATTTTTTTTTTTTATCCAGTTAGGAGGAGTTGGGAGTAGTTAGGATTCCATGCCAATACTAAGCATGGTCCCGAATGCCTGAAAATGAATACGGAACCGGAACACACGACAATCAATGGGAGGGCCCAGGGCCGCAGGCCCATTAATGGGTCCTGTGGTCCTGATCCCCAAGCTTAGGCATTAAGATGACTTTGGTGATATTACTACTGAAATAGCCACGTGTACAATAAAAAACATTGATAGACGATGAGTCCACATTCCACAATGACACGAGAGACGTTCAGATATCTCACAAGAAAAAAGAAAAAAAAATACTACTCATAAATAAAAAAACAAAACAAAACAAAAGGCGTCCGTATTAAATTCACAGCTCAAAACTAAACAATATATAAAAAGAAAAACCGTTTCTTTCAGTGAGTCCAGTCCAGCCACCACATTCGGACTTTCGGAGGAGTTCTCTTTCACTTGGAAGAAGAGTAAAGAAGAAAACAAAGAATCCCATCCTCCATGGGGTACGAGAAAACAACAGATCTCCTCCTCCTCCTCCTTCTCCTCCTACTTGTTTCCTCTCTCTCAAGCAATCTCCCTCATCACCACCACCACCGATCTCTCATCGCAAAACCAGCGATTCTTCGAAGCTCTTAAACCCACCTCCAACCCACAGAAAGCATTCACTGAAACGAGAGTGATTTATTTTTACACCCCAAAACGTAGATCCAAGTAGGAGAAATAAAATAATGGCCACATTGCAGAAATTCAAACTCCTCGCCACTCAGTGTGCCGTGGCCGGCAGCCCAACCCGGAGTCCCACCACAAGTCCCGTCGTCCACCTCCGTCGCCGCAAAACCTTACGGATGCTGCTTGGACGTTCTGGCAGCGGGCGCAGATTGCCTCGCAGGGAGGAGTCCCCGGATCGGGAGCAAGCAATCTCTCCCGATCCGCCCGAGAATGAGAAGAAGGCTTTGCTCAGCCACACTCTCAAGGATTTGTTCGTCTCCTCGCCGCCTTTCGAAGACATAAATGCCAAGCCACCACCCAAGGAGAAGAGTATTAGAGACATCGGCGACGCTTTCCCTTCGGCGATTAACCGAGTTCCCGTCTCTTCGTCAGCTCGGCGCGGTGGAATCGGCTCGCCTAGGCCGTTGTCAGCGGCGTTTCGGTATCGGCTACTGAGGAGACCCTGGCGACCTGTACTCGTCGCCATTCCCGAGTAGACTGAGCCAGAAAAAAGTACGGATTTAACGTGATCTCAGTTTCCTTTTTCTCTCTGTAATTTCTTCATCTCTTTCTCTTTTAATTTTGAAAAAGAAAAAAAAAAAAAAAGAATTCTCTCCTGAAGAGTAGTAGGTCTCAGTCTTCTCTCTTCTTTGGCCTCTGGGTGTTATTTTCCTGAGCTTTTGAGAAATACATGTACAAGTTATGAATGAGAAAATAATTCAATTAGCGAATTTTGTTAACATGAACCGGGTGTGAGATTGATTCATAGTTATGGTGCAGGAAAGTTAAAGCTGAAAGCTCAAGAAAGAACCAAAGTCTGAGCATCTGACATCAATTTTGGTTTTGAGTATGTGAGAAGCGAAATTGTCCCAGATAATAGAATGCTGCTTTTCAATCTGAATTGCTACTTTATCTTGGTGGGGTGATTGCAACCGTCGGATTAGATTACCTTTTGTTCTTGAATCTTTTGACCACCCTTTGTGTTGTTGACCTAATTCGTAAACCAGACTTAATCGAGTAGGTCGTTAAGACATATCTAATTAGTCTGATACAACTTCTAATTGGGGAGGTGGGTTATTTTTTAACTGGATGATTTTGATTGAAAACAATATCTGTGCTACCTTGTGGTTGAGGATGATAAAATAATTGGATTTATTTTATTTAATGAATTGAATGGAAGAGAGATGCCATGGCTGATCAATTTGCTTGTGGGCATGGATAAAAGGGTGCATGTTAGCATGGGAACTGTTGAGGGGTGTGACTGGATGGGCTGAGAATAGCAGGAATATGATGTGTACAATGATTTGATGTGTAGTTGGAATTTGGAATTTTTCACTTTGCAATGTGCGTTGGTGAAGGGGATGTTTGAAAGCGAAAGAGGAAGGTGAAACTTAAAAGAGGGGAGGAAACTGAAAGCCTCGGCCTGAAACTGAAAGAGCGACATGGACATGGAGGCTGGAGCTAATAAGTCTCTCTTTAATTAATTGGTCTCTACTCTAGGACTAGTGTAGGCTTTGGCTAGGCAGGCAATAAGGAAAGAGGGGAGAGACCTCAGACCAGGGTCTCAGTAGACTAGTCTCAGACTCTCAGGCTCCCCCAAAGACCCAGAAGGAAACTGGAAAAGGAGATGTTTGTTAGTGTTATTTTTTTAATGCAAAGAAGACTGGGTCTTAACTTAAAACAGTGGCTTTCTGTATCACTGTTTCGACTCAAGGTCAAAGGGGCTCTGGGTCTGGGTATGAAGAATACAAAAGTTCAGGAATAAGAAGCTACCATAATTACTGCTTGTGGGTGGTTCATGTTTCGCAGCAGAGTGATGGTTCTCTTCCACTTTCACTGTTTCTTTTTGTCCAAGCTCTCAAATCCATGGGACCTTTGGAGGAGCACAAACAAGGGTTTCTTTCATCACTTCAAATGGGGATGGTCCGGATGGATGACATGATTCTCGCTAATGCTAACCCAAGTTTCCTGGGCCCCACACGGGATAACTGTCTGTTTTGGTCCCTAGGGGTGGGGGGGAATGGTACTGAATACTGATTGGACTGCTCCTGAATCCCCCGATTCATGACTAGTTGGCGTGAAATGAGATCTGTAACTCGTGGATGGGTCAATGGGTCAATTACTCAATTACGAATCACCCAATTGGTGTGATGTGGCCAAAGGAATATACCCACGTGGCACATCACTACCGTTGGCCTGAAACACGGAGCTCCAATTTCTACGAGAATTCATCTCTCTCCGATTGGACCAAAACTTTTTTACAAATGGCTTGTTCAAGTAACAAAATTAATTTAATACGAGCAGTTTTGTTTTTGGTCGCATCAGATGATAGGTGATTCACCCGTGGGTAACCCAAAAGTAAGCACTGGCTCACTGCTGTGTGTAGGGTACTTTGGCAGGGTTGTTGTCTTGTTGGTTGGAAGTTGCAAGGAAGCAATTTTGATTTTTGAGTTCGGGCCTCAAAAATGAAGAAAGAAGCTAGCTACTGTTTGGGTACAGGATATTATATGGCTTAGCCCCAGTTTGCGCAGGCCAAATTATACGTAGCTGGGGTCAGAGAAAATGACAAATCATGTGCAGAAAACTTATCAAAGGGGGGAAAAACAGTGTCTTTTTTGAGAGCTAGCAACTCCCAACCCTTACCCTGCCTGCATAGATGGTGTGCAGACATGCGATTTCATTCACCTAAAAAAGTAGTGTATTGGTGTGGTGTGGTGGTACATCCAAATTTCATTCGGTTGCTTTCAAATTTGAACCAGATTTAACCGAATTAGGAGGTTGCAAAGTATAAATAGATTAAATTAAAATATTATATATTAATTTAATAAAATGAACTAAAAATGGATTTTGCATTGTGTTTCAATAAACGAAATGAATTGATTTTCTTTCTTTTTGATAAAGAGGAAAGATACAAGAAGAAAGAAAAATGAATTAAAATTGTATTAATTTGTATGAAAGTTGAACCTATGACAATTTAAGCTGTGATTGGTAGCAGTGTTGTTTTTAAATAAATTGCTTTGGGTTATTAAATAAATATGAATTGGTTAGTGATTTAGAATTAATGGCAAAGTGCAACCTAACAACATAATCTGTCACCGCACAACTCATACATGGTGGGTTCCACTTTTATGATTCATGGTAAACTAGTGATTGGCGAGAGGGATATATATTGTAGTCAGGTAGAATAATTAGACTTTCACCCCTGGAGCAAAAAACATCAATTTGACGTTTCAACTATAAATGCAATGATCAGTCGCACTCCCATACGTGAATTTTTAAGACATGTCCGTTTCAATTATAAACAGCCTCCAATACGGATGCACGCTAATTTTTATTGATCGACCTAAAACATTTCAAATTAAATACAAACATTAATGGCATCAAAACACAATCTTAATGCCCGTTTGGAAGGGCTGAATGCAGTGGCGTCCGGCCTTCTGAGCTGGTCCCTACACGAACAGCCTTTAATTCAACCCTTGTTCAGATTGAATTTGAATTCAAATTCGAACAATTCTATTCTATTTTGCAGCTCTACCCCAGTATTACCTGTTTCTGCATTTTCTTTTTATCTCATTTTTCGTGTTAAATGACATCTTATTCCCAAGTAGGGGGATATACCACACCATGAACACAGCCTAACCTGGAATCACAAATCTGTATATGGACATGTTTAGATCACTTTCATACAAATTTCAATTCAAAGGGAGATTAATTAACACTGGACCCATGTTCGTGCTGGCTCTGCCCACAGAAACGCTAGCCAAGTTCTATAGCATGAATGTATGAGTAAATTCAGTAATCAGAAAGCCACAAGACTCTAGACCCACTTAACTAACCACTACTACCGACGTCGCGACCAACAACAGAACCAAAACAAAAACCTCCCACCCAAAGTCCCCACAAGTATTCCACAACTTGGAGCTTGCAATAGGAGATAGCTAGCACCACCCATGCAAGAGAAGAATATGCACTGCTTTCACCCTTAAAATGTAAAATCAAAATGCACTGAATCAGACCCTAATGAGGTGGTTCATGGTTGCTTATTACACGCTACCATAAAACACCATTGATATGTGGAGGTCTGGTTTACGACAAAATCGACAAAGGTTGTTTCCTTAGACCTTCGTTACGTTGGCAGCCATATTATAATTTGATATTAGGTCGATCGGACACTCACGTATCTGTCTATCTATCTCTCTCCCTCTCTCTGAACACCAAGTTCAGTTCTTGGAAAGCTTGATCGACATCCATAATTGGTGAGACAAGTACCCTCCTCCTCTTGTACTTGTCCAACATGCCCAATACTTGTACAAGTAATAAATTACAATGTCGTCATGTCAACTGATCAATGTTCAAAACGATGTGGGGCTGGTGCCAAGGTGGCATTCACATAGACAAAATCCTGAAAAGGGTGATCTATCGTTGAATTCGGAACAAATTGAAAGCATGCATGTGTTTGATGACGATGATACACGTACGTCCATCGGTCCATGTCCATGTCCATGTGGCGAGATGCATAAACAGGAGCGACAAACAGAAATACAATTATACAAATTAGTTTGTCTGCTTGGGCCCTCCGTGGAAAACTAAGAGCAAGGATCTCCCGATCGTGAAGCAAACAAATCCCTTTTCTTTTCCAATGTTGGACTAGGCAAAACAATGATGGAAAATACATGGATAAGGAAAATTAGCCAGGTTTTCCGGAACATAATGCGAGAACCGAGAAGAAAGATAATTAAACACAATAAACATGACCGGTTGACCGATTACGAACAGACCAGACCCACACACACACACAAAAAAAAAAAAAAAAGGTGACCCCATATATAATTGGTTAACATTGCTTAAAAGCTCGTAATTTTTAACATTGGCCAGTAGCTGGATCCGTTCATGTAAGATATATTAATGTTGGTTATGGTGAGGCCGCTGGCCATCTCTTTATCAATCACAAATGCTCTCCTGGATGGTAAATACTATATTAATGTTTGTTTTATAACTGTTACACTAGTTACCACGTCCACGATCACCTTTTCTTCCTAATATAAAGATATAAACAATAGAAAAAAAAAGAGTAAATCAGATCCGGATCGTTATAGCCTCCTGACTGGTGTTCCCCGTGATTCTGGGTTTGTGTTCTGACTTCTAAATCAGCATGTGTGAGCAATTCAGACAAAACAGAATTCAGAAAAACCCCACCCATTTAACTGTGTTCGGATCTCCTGCCCACACAAACTCTGTTCATGTTTATCGCAGCCACACATAGAGAACATTTCATCCTCTGCATAGCATTATGTAGGGGTAAATGTTCTCAATTCACGGGAGATGATATATTGTACGTAAATGTGAGCAGAATTCTCGTGAACAGAAGATCCAGAGTCCATTTAACTATGTCTATATTGAACACTTGGAACGTTGTGTGGGATGGTCCAACCGTCCCAAGTCCAACCATTTAGATCAACTTAGAACCCAGACCTAGCATAGCAAAATCCATGCGTCTGACACCTTAACTCCAATCTGGAATATTTTATCTTAGAGATTGTTATAATATAATCAATATATTAACAATTTAACAGCCCAAATCAATGCTAAGGATCCCTAAAAATAAATGAAACAAGAATGCGGGGCCCCTTAACAAACTCAAAAGTTGCTGAATTGAATCTCGGTTTCACCCTCACCACCCATCCTCAAGTTTGCCTAGTCCAGGGAGAAAGAAAATATAAAACTCTTTCTCGAATTCGATGCCTCTACTATTAATTTTTATTACCAATTCCAAGAACAAAACAATTCGACTCCAGCAACTTGAGCATATTTCATCTATCCCTGAAGGCAAGCAACATTTGTGTCGGTGCCACGACCACTAATGCCTCATGGCACTCGCATGTATGTTCTGGGATCACAAAAGTTACAGAAAATATGTCATTGCCCTCAACTAGCAACAGAAACTAAAAAATCGATATATTATTAAAAAAAATAGAACACGTATCATTTTTATTCACCTCCTTAACATGTAAAGGTTCATCCCTCGAACATGGTGAAAAAAAGAAAAAGTTTAATAAGTGTGTAGGTGTTAGCTATTCATTGCCTCTAGAGGAATTGAAGAGCTCCTCTTATTCAATTGAGTATGCGAGGACTGGAAATGTTCATTGTCTTCCTCTTCTCGGGCCCCTCCACTTTCTTTCTGGGGCTTCACACGACTATCCGACTTTGGATGGGCTTGTGAGTGTTGGTCATGAGATAAAATACCGTGCAAAAACCGTTGAATCATTTCAAAACTAGTAAAGGTAATAATGGCTGCTGGAGTCGTTCTAAACAGGTTAGTGGCACAGCCACGGTAAAAGCCAGGCAAACCCTCCTTGTGGAACACCTTTTTAATGCAGTCAATTACACCTGCATAGTGGACCTCAGGATTGCGAGCTTGTCCCTGCTCTTGCAGTCTTGAACGCACAACCTAATGATAATAAAAACCAATTAAATAAAAACGAATGCACAAAGAATTATAGGTATTTATGTTATTGATCACAAATCTCTTAGTAAAAGAATTATGGAAGCAACTTCAAGATTGTACCTCGTGGGGGTAAGTCATTGTGGAAGCAAGTATTTTAGATACTGAGGAGGCTATGGCGAAATGTCCTGGAGTCAGCTTATCAACTGTTGTATTTTCTGAAACATTTTTTAAATTACTATTAGTATTAAAAACAACACCAAATAGTTGAAGATTCAGTATAAACTAAATATCATAATTACCTCTTCTTGCCAAGTAAGCCTTCATATTCTCATATGCTGGAAACTGGATAGCAACATGGCTTACCCCAACCAGTGCAGGCAAAAGGCCACTGTTTTCATCATATGAAGACAATGTTATCATACCAAACTAATGAGTGACTTGGCTAATGAAGAAAACTAACTTGGATTTCAACTAGTTCCCACTTATGAACCAGGCAAATTAGAAGGTTATCAGAAAGTTGAATCCTAACATCCGATTCTATGTTAACCTATATTCAGTAAGAAATAGGTGACCTGTATAATCCTCGAATCCCCTCTTCATGTGAGATCCTTCTCAAAGCAGAAAGTATACTTTTATAAGGAACCACACCTGACCTCATTCCCTGCGTCTGAAAGAAAAAATATAAAAATAAATGAACATAGAAATCAGATTAACATCATTAGAATCCTACATGCCTTGAGGTACCATATTATCAGCTATAAGCCTATAATGCAGATGGCAGGTTAGAAAGGACTTATGTAAGTAAGAAAGCATCATTAATACCATGCAAGTAAAACATGTAAAGCATGTGGTCATGATCAAAAAATAGATTTCTGCTGCCAGCCTCTCATCCCTTCGAGGTGATGGTTTTTGTCTTTTTTTGGGTAATAAAATAACAACTTTTATTAAAAGATAAAAGAAAAAAGAGAAATTACAAGGAGAGTGACCAGAAATCACCCGAGAGAGAGAAGAACAAATAAACTTCAGCTTCCACCCACACCTCCAGCTCAAAGACAAAAACAAGACCAAATCAACAAAAAAAAAAAAAAAAAAGAATTCCAGGAACCTAGCTCTCCAAACAGGACCAACCAATAACGACCTTAACCCAATAACCTGACCCAAGTCAAGAAACCTCAATGACAGCCTCAAGCAATCACATATCAAAACGAAACAAACTCAGAATTAAAACCAGGCCCAACAAGAAAAGACAACAGAGACAAATACACCCTCAAAAGGACAGAACTGAACACCAAAGAAATTACTTCTTTGAAGTTTTCCTGAGATTTATCGCCTTGTTTGGTCCAATTCCAAACAGACCCCCTCTAATCTAGCAATGACACTTGACACCAAGACGTCTTGATGCTTTTTCTGTTTTCTGAATCTTCTAACTACTAAAATATCCTTCCTGAACTTCATCCAAGTCTTAGACTCCTCAATAATCCTTTCCAACTCCAAGATTCTGTTTTTCTCAAAAATTTGATCTTCACCCAGTCTACATCTTTTTCATTAGTAGCTCCTGTGAATCTGTCTGAAATCTGCTTGTTGTGCCTATCTTCAAACAATGAAGAATTTTCTTTCATACTCCATCATTCTCCCTCAAAGGCATTGGAAATTTCTCTTCTAATTCTTTGAATTTTTCTAGCAAATTCCTCTCCCCCCAAGAAATAAATACCCGAGTATTTACTCACTTCTACTTCGATGTTCACAACCTTCTCCAAATCAATTGTTTTCTCTTTTACATGGGTTTCATCCATTGTAATCTCTTATTCTTCTGAACTTCCGTCCTCTTCTTCCTCCCCTCTACTTCCTCCTCCGTTCTCTTTCTTTAAAAAAATTCTCATTTTTCTCCTGTAGAGGTCTCGTTCTATACTTTCTCTTTCCTTTAAACACCTTTGGAGAAGGACCTGTTAATTCTTTTTCTTCTTCCCCACCCCCACTACTTTCAACCCTTTCAACCTCAAGCATTCACTTATGGAAATTGCCAACATCACCCACTCCCACTCCCCCAAGCTCAAAGCTCTGTTTCCTTGGCATATTCAATCTTCTCCTAACCTTCTCCAAATCAATTGTTTTCTCTTTTACATGGGTTTGATCCATTGTAATCTCTTATTCTTCTAAACTTCCGTCCTCTTCTTCCTGCACTCTACTTCCTCCTCCCTTCTCTTTCTTTAAAAAAATTTTCTCATTTTTCTCCTGTAGAGGCCTCATTCTATACTTTCTCTTTCCTTTAAGCACCTTTGGGGAAGGACCTGTTAATTCTTTCTTCTTCCCCACCCCCACTACTTTCAACCCTTTCAACCTCAAGCATTCACTTACGGAAATTGCCAACATCACCCACTCCCACTTCCCCAAGCTCAAATTGCTCTGTTTCCTTGGCATACTCAATCTTCTCCTCTCCAATCTGGATTCCCCCATTTCATTTTCTCCTTCATGGACCACCTCCTCTTTTTCCCTTTTCCCGCCTCTATTCTCCTCCAGTCCTAAACTTTCTTTCTCAAAGCTTTCCTTCTCTTCTCTATTAACTTGCCTCTCTTCTGTCCCACCCCGCATGTCTTTCTGCTCTTCTCCTTCTACCCTCTTTCTTTTCACTTCTGACAGCCCCGATTTCTCCTTTTTGAGTTTCACCTTCCGGCTCATGATTCTTTCTGCCTTCCAAGCTCAAAGTGGACCCAATATAGCTCAACTCAACTGCTATTTGATCTCTTGTATTCCCCTCAAACCCCTCTCTTTTCCTGAGAAACACACCTCTGCTCTTGGACAATCTGTCAAATTCTTTTTGTTCAGACAGACTTCTCCTGCATAAATTTTATCTAAAAATGTTTCTTTGTCTTAGTAAATGTATCTTGTTTGGTACCAAACAAAGGTGTCCTTGTGCTTTAGTGAAATTTCCTGCATTTTCCTCAAGCCTCTTCGATAAAGATGATGGTAAACCCAAGTTTGGTTGCACCAACCTCCAGCTTCATTTGACCTCACTTGCTATTAGAGTCTTTAGCTAGTAGACCATTTCATTGTTCCCATTTTCTAATTCGTAAAATGGTTTTATTACCGCTGAAAATATGAGCAAAGCAGATAGGTGTCAAGCACCCTTTATGAGTTGTTAGCCTCAGCTAAGCCCCCTTACATAGATTCCCCATCAAATAAAGTGCCCCAGTAAATGTAATTTCTATTAACCCATGTTTTTTGCAAATCCATCTGCTACAGAGTTAGCCAAACTTGGAGCCCACTGCCATTATCTTCCAATTTCAAGTGATAGCAGCTTTTTCCCCCTCATCAAGTGTCTTTATCTCCATGATCCCACTTTTGTCATTGCTGTTCTAAGACAATATTACCTTGGAATAACCTCCTACCTGTATGTAAGGGTGTAAATGAACCAGATTCTAATCCAATTTGAATCCAATCCAATTATGCCAGATTCGATATCCCTTGGCAGATTATCAAATTGACACAGATCAGGAAATATGATCCATTTGCTTATTGGATTGAATTGCTTACTGATTTGATCTGAAAAAAAAATCTGATTTGATCTGAAAAAAAATCTGATTTGATCTGCTAATTATATAATGTGTATTATTTATTACCATTTCAAGTTTCAAAAATACAAAAATTTGAACCTTCGAAAAAAAGAGTCACAAGACTCTCGAGACTTGTCAATTACCGAAAATAAGTCAGACTTCTCTACCTCTTGATTCAATCCAAAAAAATCCGATTTGATCTGCTAATTATATAATGTGTATTATTTATTGCCTTTTCAAGTTTCAAAAATACAAAAATTTTAACCTTTGGAAAAAAAGAGTCAAGATTCTCAAGACTCATCAATTACCAAAAATAAGAGTCAGACTCTCTTTTGGCTCTTCACCTTTTTTCCAAATGACCCTAATCCACAACTTTCCCCATTTTCATTTCCCTCTTGTTTTCACTAATTGAATTGAATCGAATATTCAATTCTTTTTTGAATTGAATAGCGCCTTAGCCATCCTCAATCCATGCAACATTGCCAAAATATTCGTTTTCCCAATTCTGAACACACCTCCAACTCCATGGCTTTAAATTACCAATGCTGCACCAATGACCAATCAAAGTTCTATTTCCATTTAGTGGCTGGCACCATGAAGAAGATTTGACATTGGAAGAAGAAGCTACCATTGCCCAATTCCTAAGCATGTCATCCATAGTAAATTGGTTGAAAACCACCAATGTTCTTATCCAATGGAAAACATTACTCTTTTTTTTTTTTTGATTCATGAGGCTACACAACAAAGGGTAACCATCCTCTTCCCCTTAAACACCCTCCAAACCCTAGTGGCAGTGGGAAATCCTTAATCATTGTGTTTTCCAGTCTTGTTTCTAGGCTTTTGCCCTTGTCTTTGAAGAGTCTTGAGTTCATCTCTTCCCAAATGCACATACAACTACTCTTGTACATGTCCACATAATTTTTTTTTTATAAAGGATAACTGATCGTATTAATGAAGAAAAACAGGAAGTAATGAGAGGATGTACAGATTACAGGGACAAAGGCAGAAATCTTTCACAATACAAATGGCTTGAAGAATTCCAAATGAAGGCAGCATAGTTGCAGGAGATTAGTAAATGGAATGTAGTAGGGGTGAAGTTGTGTACCCAACTTGAAGAGTTCACAGAGCATCGGGCTCAAGCCCTCAGGACGAGCCTATTCAAAATTTGGCAAATTGCTCAACCCAAGCCCGCCTAAGTTACCGCCCCAGAATGTACTCTCACCACTTGTGAGACACAAAGAACAAACATAGGGAGAGAAGCTCCAATAGAGCTTTCTCTTTTGAAGATTTTCAAAAGTAATTGATTTCATCATGGTAGACCTCCCAACAGAAAATTCTTATCTTCGATGAAGATGGTCCTTTCCAAATGAATTGGGGAAGAGAGGAGGGACTTCTAGTGAGTGCTTTAAATAAAGAAGCACAGGAAAATCTGCATTAGCATTCATGGTCCAAACCCTACCATCACTATATTGAAGGTCAAGAAAAACTCCCTCCAAAAGATCCAACAAGGCAGAAATTGAAGAGATTTTTAGGTCTATAAGCCCTTCCTCCAAACTGAGATTCCAAGTTAAGCCATTGGAGGAAGGGAAGGCACAATGGGAGATAGAGGAATGTATGTCAAGTGAGATGGAATATGAGGCTTCGAATTTCTCCTTTAATGCTGTCCAAACCCTACCATCACTACCTTGGGGGTCAAGGCAGAAATTAAGGGGGTTTTTAGGTCCACAAGCCCTCCCTTCAAACCAAGATTCCAAGTAAATCCATTAGAAGAGGGGAAGGCACAATGGGAGATAGAGGAATGTACGTTAAGTGAGATGGAATATGAGGCTTGGAATTTCTCCTTTAGGGGCTGGTCTCCCCACTTAAGGTCTTCCCAAAATTGATTCTGTTAACTGATATGGCATCATAATGGATAGTGTAGGAATTTTTGCAGCACAAAAGAGATGGGTTTCCAAGGTGATCTTGAAACCAGGGTTGCTTTAGCATCAACTCCTGCATCCCACCCATTATTTCCATCATTTCACCTTCTAGCTCAATAGCCAAGTTTACCCTAGAATGATGTGAGGGTAAAATATCATATTGCACAGAACTTGCATGAAGTGCAATATTTTAAACACAAGAAGCACAATTTAAGTGCAAGAGGTTCCTAGACCCTGAGGAACAAGGCACATGGCTGAACAAAATGGGGTGCCACTTTAAAAATAATAATAAAAATACAAGAAATACTTGATATACAAATATAGGTAAAATATACGGTGCACCAACTGCACTATGCAGCAAAAGGCATGAACTAGTAATACAAGATATAACAACATATCACACCTCACATTGTTAAAGTGATAAAATCTTGTACACTTTGTGAAACGTGAAACCATGAAATCTTGATTTAACGTGCAGTAAATATTAGTAAATGCACCATACTTGGACTCACAATATATGAAAATTAGAAATAAAATATTTCACAATACTATAGCTTAGTCTAACAGTAAGGGTATTTGCCAACCCTAGCCTGGCCTGGGCCTAGGCCCAACCCGAGTATGTCAATTTTCAGTTCAGGCTGGGCCTGGGTTGTAAGGGTTGGGCTTGACCTCAGGCCCAGTCTGGTCTCAGGCTTTTGGTCCAATATTTAGGGTTGGGCCTTGGTTGACCTTAAAACCGGCCCAGCCCTTGCAACTTGCACCCCTACCCTATTCTTATTCAGCAGAAAACATTTTTTTATCTCTCCATGGATTCTTGAACAAAGGTAACAAAAATGGGTCCTCTGAAGTATCTCTTCACCACCAAAATTAGTTGTACATTAATTCCTATTCCTTCTATTGCCAATTTATGCTGCATATATTCCAGGTTTAACCTACTTGAAGGTTTTTTATTCTAAAGCATCATTGAATAATTTTAGTTTTGTATTTAACCACTCTAACATCGTAAATCAATACAAGGTCATAATGCATCAAAAGACCACCCCCAGTTAGTGGATTCCTATTTAGCTCACCCATGACTACTGCAGATAAATATGGTCTGAACACTAACCCCTAATGTAGAACTACTGTAAATGGAATTCTCCTATCTATCCTTGATGTTTCCGGTATCAAAATGTGGCTCACAAGCTTAACCCCATAAAAAGTGGTTCAATTCCTTGCTTAAAAAGAAAAAAAAAATTCTCACATATATAGATACAAATTTTTATCTGAATTATCATGGTGCTACAGATAAAAACACAATAAAAGAAGGGCCATTACCCAATGTTGGTCCCAACTATAGGGGCAGACTGGATAAGGACCTAACCTTTGGCATTTTACAGAAAAGAAAAAATAAACCAAAAGTAAGCATGAAGAGAAAGAAAGGTATCTTCAAAAGAAAATGCAACTATCATGAAACCAAAAAGAAGATAAAATTCAGGATTGCTAAGAGAATCAATGATTTGCACCATACAATATGCATATAATGTTTATCCTGCTTAAGAAAATTCCACATACAAGTATATAACTACAGTCAGGCATATTACAAGATACCATTACAGCTTATCCCAGTAAAAAATCAAAGCATACTTGGAGTCGGGTCTTAACAACCCATAATGGATTAGTTGAAATAGCTGTGGCTGTGCCAGCACCTGAGGCAGCTATCATATTTGCACCAATTGTGAGTTGGTTATCCTCATCCACTACAATTGTTACAGAATGAAAAGAAAATCAGGACAGGTTTCAATTACCTGAAAATTATCAAAACTACTGAATAGGATTAATCCACCTCCGTAAATTGAAGATAAAAAATGGAAATTTTCTAAGGAGTACTCAGAAAACCAACCATAGGAATGAAGCAGGGCTTTGAGCTTCCCATAAACTGTGAAGTACACCTACATAATGAAATAAGTACTATCATCACTTGGATAAATAAAGGACTTATTTTAAGTATCTTATCAAATAATTCAAGAAATAATTTTGTGAATATTTGTTAGAAGTGGAAAGACAGTGTATAATAAGGCAGATATTAGTTTAATACATGTGTTATAGTGGATTATAATCTGCTTAGAAAGATGTATTACAAACAAAATTGCTTTCTATCAATCACCTAGGTATAAATGCCTTTAACATGCCCATTTCCTTTTCTTTAGTTCCTTTATTTTTTTATAATAAAAAAAATATTTCATTATGAAAAAAAAAAGAAGAGAATACAAGAGGAAGGAGATAATACATCACCTGATAGAAGAAAAAAAACCCTCAAACAACTACCAACTAAAACACAACCAAACAACAAGACCCAGAAATTAATATTTTATTGTTGTGAAATTTCTTTTGATGGATAACTTTAATATTTTATTAACAATGAAAAAAAAAAATTAGTATGTAAAATATGGCTGACCCCAGCCCCAAACCACGAATCTTGGTAAGTACTTTCATTCTAAATTTAGTACACCCAGAATAATTGTTGGCTATGTACACCTTATTTTGTTAAGGTGTCAGCCAACCTATTGGCTGAATTTGCACCTATTATATGTGATATTTCTCTCCCTTGTTTAACACTTGATTTCCCTTAAAACCCACATGTATTACCAACATTCTTGTCTTTGTCCTGTTAGCCAGCACACCACCACCACTCCAGAGTCTCCTTCCACTTGCAGATTGCTGTAATTTAAAGATTTTGCCAATCTAACACCTTGCAAAGCTTCAGTAGTGCATACTAAATGGAAGTTTCCATGCCTATAGTGCCAGAATACATTGCTAGAATTATACCATATTCATCCCTAAAACTCCTCCGAAGCCTGAGGGCCTGGATTGCCAAACCTGCCACCATCAAAATTTAATTTGATTTTATTTGTTGTAACATGCATTGGTTTTTTGGCTCTCCATACAATTAGTAAACCAGTGTAGTTAAAGCATCAACTAGGTTACTACCTAGGTATTTTGGAGACCTATCATCTTGTCAACAAATGAGGCAGATAAAACATGAGCATCTTAGTGGGGGATAACAAGTAACTAAGCTCCCTTTTATATATTAACATGGTTGTGTAAAACCCATTATGGGTCAATAAGAATGCATATAAATCTAAAAATTGGGTTCTTAATCCTTGTACACGTGCCTCTGTTACTTTGAAATTTGAACAAGAAAGATTATTCAAAATCTTGTAAGATTTTTGACTGAAAATCAGATTTAACTTGTCATTTGGTCTTTTATTGCTTCAGTTTGTAGTTTAATAGTTCATAATTGACAATGTGACATGTAAATACATAAAGCCTATTTATGTATCTAGGCGATGCTTAGTTGTTATCTAGGCATTGACTTGCTTTGCCAAGCCAAAGTGCATAGACATTACCTGGCCTCCTTAACTAGATCCGTAGATGAAATAATGAAAACATTTACATACAAAAGGTTCAATTGGAAATAAAGAATAGAAGAATAGAAAAGAATGAAATGCTTGGATTATGTTATCTATGCTATCGATTTTTTGCTCAGGTAAAAAGAAGAAACAGAGAACAAACAAGAGAATAGAGAAAATGAGAGAATCCATGGATAGAGGTGTTTACATAAAAGAAATACATAGGTAGGTGTGCAGCCTCCTTTCTCTTATATATAATTCTTAAAGTTACATGAAAAGACAATTATACCTCTGACCAGCCATAACTAGTAAATAATAAATAAATAAACAGAAATAAAAGAACATAAATATCTCAACTCTAACTCTACTTACAATATCCACTTTTCATCATCTAATGTATCTTTTTTATTTTCTGAAAAAAATAAGCTCCTTCCAAAAACACAGAAGGATGTTACTAATAATTTTAATGCTAAATTATATAATCAATTTTATCCCAATGTGGAGATCTCTAATCCCCAGATATGGATCTGACATAGACATAGATACAGGAAATAGGCATGTAACTCTATTTCCTAAGAGCCCTAACATGGATATAGCTATGGATATCCCATTTAATATGCTGATACGATGCCTTTGTATTTAGTTTTTTGATTTTTCGTTACTTATATCTTGCCAGATTTAATTAAACTAGTAATAGATACAGATTATTTATACTATTATTTGTTAAAATTTTAAAATATACCATTTTAAATATTTAAAAGTGTGAATGCTACAAAGTGTACACTAAAGTGTCTATACAGTATCCAGTGGTAATATCATGTGTCATGTCTGACACCGCTACACTAAGTATGTACAAGTAGCCAGGTATCATAGCTGATCAATAAACATAAACAAAAATTTATGTGGATGACCAATAAAATGTACTGATTCAAATCTACAACCATGAAGAGTTGGGATAAGAACTACCATCATTTTCTAGGCAGTTACTCAAAAGTTGTGATTGCATTAGTGTATAAACAAACTTAATTTTATGAGTTTAGGTTTAGTGAATAACTAAGAAGAAATAGAAATACTAACTGAAAAATGAAAACTAATACTAGGAAAAAATATCTTTATAGGAAATAAGAGAAAATAAAGATACAAAATACATCATCCAAGAAAGAAGAATTCAAGACAAGTTTTATATAAACAACTTCAGAAACATGGTACTCACTGCTATGAAATAAATACAATAGTTACTCTACCAAAAAAAAAACGAAAAGAAATACAAGAGTTCAGGGAATAGAAGAAGCATTCAATGCAATAGAGTCCATAAATCAGCTAACTGTACGGATGATACATTATTAAGAAAAGGTATCAACATATCTCAACTATCTTAGGGGGAGCTGAGGGATAATCAGATGTAATGTAATAGTAAAGTGATGAGGGAATGGATTGAGGCGGCAGGGGCTGGCCTATGTTCTTGGTCTAAGGCATTGAATATACCATATTCTTTTCCAAATGTAATAAAATGTTTAGATACTCATAAAAAAATATGGTACTCACTGCCCAATTTGGAAGTAGTGCCAATATTGTTGGAGAAAGACCACGATACATTCCCCTCACGCCCTCATTCTTTATTATGTTTTGCAGGCTAGAGACAATGAGGCTACCTGATTTTAGCCATAGAGTGCAGAGCATCAGATATTTCAAATATTATGGAGGGAAAAGATGATCATAGACAAAGAAAACAGGGAGTGAATGCAAAACAAGAATTAAGAATTCTAATGGTACTTATTTCAAAATTGAAATATACATACATATATACATACATTGGTTTTTTCTATGTTATTTGTTATAAGCTGTCGCCCTAAGTATAAATATTAACTTAGGCGCCGCCAGCCTAACACTGAATAGAACTTTTCTTTCTTCTCCCTTTCTTCTCTCTTTCTTCTCTCTTCCTTCTCCTTTTCTCTCTTTTATTACTGTTGAACTACATGGTATCAGAGCTCTGATCTGGGTGCAACCTTCTCAGATCGTGTTCTTCATCTGAATTTTTTTTTTTTTTTTTTCGATTGGAAGAGGAGATGAAGACTCCATTGGACTGATCTAGCCCTTCAGTCTTCGTTTTTTCTCTCTTCTCTCTTGGTCGCTGTACCAAAAAGAAGTTTGTGGTGGCAGCATAATGCAGTAAGGGTTTTTTCCAGGTTTGTGGTGGCAGCCGAATGTAGTAAGGAGTTTTCCTAGGGTTGTGGTGGCAGCTGAATGCAGTAAGGAGTTCTTCCTAAGGTTTTTTCTATGGAATGTAGGTCGTGGAAGCCAGGTACATACTGTTACATTCATATCTAAGTGTATGACCACTGTGAATGTCACAGTTTCGAGGTTGTAGGGGCTGGTTGTCTCCTCTTATAAGCTGAAGTGTTTCGGCTACCTACAGTCCGGCTGAACCTATATTTGGAGTCTTCTTAAACTACAGAAGTACAAACTTTCTATCTCAATTTGTTTTTTTTTTTGAAAAATCAGCAGTAAAGTTTTTTGAGAAAAATGGCTACTGAGGATTCAGCAACCTCTGGTATTACTTCCCATCAAGGAAACCTAAATGGGGGAATGGACAGCATGAATTTCTCTATGTCTATTACCCCCTTTGATGGCCTAAATTATCTGGAATGGTCCAAAGGCATCAAACTGTATATCACAGCTAGGGGGAAGGCTGGTTACATAAGTGGAAAAATAAAAGAACCAAAGTCCGGTACTGCTGAATATGATCGATGGGATCAAGAAAACAGCACGGTTATGTCATGGCTGTTAGGTTCCATGCTGCCTCATGTAAAGAAAAATTTCATATGGGCTGACACAGCTTGTGAAATTTGGGAACAAGCCAAGGCAACCTATTCTGAACAGAAGCACTTTGCCAAGATTTATCAGCTTCAAGCAGAAACATCTACTTGTAAGCAAGGAGACCGTAGCCTATCTACATATTATTCAGCCCTTACATCTGTTGGAAGAAGTTGGACTATTGTCAGACTATTGAGTGGAAGAATGACGACGATGCACAAGCATAAAAAAAACTTGACTCCCAATAGCGAGTATTTGCTTTCTTGCATGGGCTGAATCCTGCTTATGAGCCTCTTCGGGTGAAGATTTTAGGAAGCAGGGAACTTCCTTCAGCTCAAGAAATATATGCCCTAGTTCAATCTGAAGAGAGCAGAAAATATCTAATGAATGTTTCTGAGGGGGAGCAACCTGTTGCCTTGGCTGCAAGAGGGGGTAACATTGGAATGAAGAAGGGAGAATCAAGGAAAAATGAAGACAAGGACAAACTATGGTGCACTCACTGCCAAAAGCCTAGACACACTCGAAAAACCTGTTGGGAGTTAGTGGGGAAGCCCAAGTGGGCAACCAAGAATCAAGACACTTCAAAGAAGCCTCCTCAGAAGAAATTTACTTCTGCAAATTTGGTTGCACAAGATTACCAACCAAATAATCTGACTACTGGATTTTCCTAAGAGCATCCTAGTGGTCCTGATCCCAAGGAAGACATCATCAACTCCTTCAGAGATCATTTGGAATTGTATGGTAGGACTCTTGGGAAGATGGATAGGTCGGTTCCTACCCCTTCTACTTCATTTGCTTCTACATCAGGTAAAGGTGCTTCTACATTTCATGTGTGTACCTCTACTCCCGAGTCACCTTTGACCATTGACTCAGGAGCATCAAACCATATGACTGGTAAGTCAATTTTATTTCACTATTGCTGGTCAAGGATCTGTATCCCTTCCTGATGGCCTTGTTTTACCCCATGCCTTTCATGTTCCCAAACTTCCTATTAATTTGTTATCCATAAGCAGTATTACTCAATCCTTAAACTATTGTGTAATCTTTTTTCCTCATTCTTGTGCTTTCTAGGACTTAGCCTCGGGGAGGACAATTGGTAAAGGAGATATGGTTGATGGCCCCTACATCTTGGAGAATAAAGTTGGTCTTGTGGCATCAACTTCTGTGAGTCTTATGAGTCAGTCTACAAAAAGTCAACTGTGGTTGTGGCATGTTAGAATGCTCGAGTCAGGGGTTTATTGTCAAACATGTCAATTGAGTAAGTTATGTTCCCTGAGTTGTTCAAGTTTATGTCTATCACTAGTTTACATTGTCAAACATGTCAATTGAGTAAGCATTGTAGAACAACTTTTCCATCAAATAATAAAAGATCTACTTTGCTTTTCATGTTGTCTTTTCTGATGTTTGGGGCCTTGTAAGCATACCTACTGAGGGTGGGTACAAGTATTTTATCAGCTTTATTGATGATAATTAGAGATACACTTGGATATATCCTATGCATTCCAGAGAAGAAGTACCCAAGATTGTGCAAGATTTCCACCTCATGGTTTTAATTCAATTTCAGATTGAAGTCCAAATTTTCCAATCGGATAATGTGAAGGAATATTTCCATCATGACTTAACTGAGTTTTTCTGCTCTCATGGATCTCTTCATAGAAGCTCGTGTGCCAGAACACCACAACAGAATGGTGTTGCCGAAAGGAAGAACCGACATCTTCTTTAAGTTGCCCACAGTATGATGCTTCACATGAATGTTCCAAAATGTTTTTGGGTTGAAGCTGTGATGGCCACAACTTATGTTATCAATCATATGCAATCACGCCTCTTGCAATATAAGGCCCCACATCACTTCTTTTCCCTCAATCCCCTTTATTTTCTATTCCCTTATGTGTGTTTGGTTGTAAGTGTTTTCTTCATGATCTATCTCCAAACCGGGGTAAATTGGATCCCAAATCTGTTCCATGTGTTTTCTTGGGTTATCCATCTTCCCAGAAGGGATACAAATGCTTCAATCCTGTCACACATAAGAACTTTGTATCAATGGATGTGTCCTTTTTTGAATCTGAACCTTCTTCCAAGTCTCTCCTCAAGGGGAGAACAATGTGAAGGAGGAGAGGCAAGCCCCTCAAGTTCCTCTTCCCTTTATTCCTAACTCCTCTCCATTCGTGTCTTCTTGAGGCACCGTAAGGGACAGCTGAATTCAAAGGCTGTGGAGCAACTTAGGACTATACATCCAACACCATCTGACTCCTTGAAGGAAAATCCAGGTACCCTTGTTCCCATTGACATTACTGAACCTATTGCTATTGATGATTCTACTAATGATCTTGATGTTCCAATTGCTCATAGGAAAGGAGTTAGATCATGTACTACTAAGCATCCTATTGCTTAGTTCTTGTCCTATGAAAACATTGCACCCTCATTTTGTGCCTTTTTGATTGTCATTGATTGTGTCTCCATTCCCATAAGTGTTGCAGAAGCCTTATCTATACCTGAATGGACAGATGCAATGAAAGAAGAAATTGGTTCTCTACACAAAAACAACACCTAAGAGTTGGTGAATCTTCCTGAAGGCAATGAGCCAATGGGGTGCAAGTGGGTATTCACAGTAAAGCACAGAGCAGATGGGTCGGTTGAGAGGTATAAGGACAGGTTAGTTGCAAAAGGGTATACACAGGTGTGGGGTCGATTATGCAGAAACATTTGCCCCAGTTGCTAAAATGAGCACTATTCAGATTATACTATCCTTGGCTACTAACTTTGATTGGGAACTCCACCAATTGGACATCAAAAATGCGTTCTTCAATGGGGATCTGGAAGAAGTTTACATGATCCAACCTCCTAGGTTTGTAGCATAAGGGTGTGAAGGGAAAGTTTGCAACTTGATGATGGGACTGTTGATCCCCAAGGGCCTGGTTCAGCAGATTTCACTTGCCTTTTTTTTTATCAGTAAATATGTCTTTTATTAAAATTTAGATTGTAATTAGTTTATACAACTTGATGATGGGACTGTTGATCCCCTTTAATCACTCTATTCACCCCTCATTACAGTGTAGCCCAAAATAATTGTTGTCTCAATGCCCCTTATTTTGCTAATCCATCAGCTAGCCCATTTGCACTTCTTCGGACCTATTTAAACTCCGCCTCAACCTCCTTTGCAATCTTCTCCACTTCCTTAATCACATGTTTAAACGTCCATGGGGTGTGGCTTCTATTTGTTGCCCATGAAATTACTACTTTTGAGTCCCCTTTCACTTCAACATGTCTGCATCCTAGTTGTTTGGCTAGCTTTAACCCTTGTAGTAATGCCAATAATTCAGCCTTCAGTGAGTTTTCGTTGCCAATCGGTCCTAAGAACATACCCAATATCCTCCTGTCAAAGTTTCTTAATACTCCTATTCCTGAGATGCATGGATTTCCATATGAGCACCCATCAAAATTCAGCTCTACTTTATTGCCTTCAAGTGGTTTCCACTCTAGCCTTACTTTATCTCTTACTCTCGAAGATTGTGCTACTTCAGACCATGTTCTTAGAATATCTGCAACTGAAAAGACTTAAAAGCAGTCCAAGGGTTTTACTCAATGGGCTACTTTCACCTTGATACTATCAATCACTTCCTCTATTGTTCTACTTCAACAAATTGGGTTCAAGCAGTGCCAATCTGACCATGCCTTGTTTGTCAAAAGAAACCAGAAGAATGTTGTGGTATTGATTGTCTACGTTGATGACATTGTGATTACTAGGAATTGGGACTCTGAGATTCAAAAAGTTAAAGAATCCCTTACTATGAATTTTGAGGTGAAAGATCTGGGGCAGCTACGTTATTTCCTTGGTATTGAGGTTACTTGCTCAAAAAGAGGCATCTTCATTTCCCAAAGGAAGTATGTCCTAGATCTCTTGTAGGACACAAGAAAGTTAGGAGCAAAGCCTGTAGATTCCCCTATTGAGGAAAACCATCGGCTTGGTGATTGTACTGGAGAACCAGTGGCGGATGTCAAGAAGTTTCAAAGGTTGGTAGGAAGACTTCTCTACCTATCAATGACTTGGCCAAATATAGCTTATGTTGTTGGTGTCCTTAGTCAGTTTATGCATGCACCAACATCCTCCCATTTAGAGGCAGCTGAGAAAGTACTCAGATATCTAAAGAAATATCCAGGAACTGGGTTACTTTTCAATAAACATGGTCATATGAAAGTGGAAGTCTACACAAATGTAGATTGGGTTGGAGCAGTTGATGATAGGAAATCAACTAGTAGATATTGTACCTTTATTGGTGGAAACTTGGTCACTTAGAGAAGCAAAAGACAAAGTGTAGTGGCCAGATCTAGTGCTTAGGCCAAGTATAGGGCCATAGCGCATGGAGTTGCTGAAGTGCTATGAGTAAAAAATTTGATTGAAGAGTTGGGATTCTCCATTGATGGTCCAATGTCTCTCTATTGTGACAACAAGGCAGCCAATCCAATTCTTGATGACAGGACCAAGCATATTGAAGTTGGCAAGCATTTCATAAGGGAAAAACTTGAAAAGGGGGAAGTTTGTACTCCTTACATCAGTTCCAAGGAACAATTAGCTGATGTCTTACAAAGGGTCTTCACTATTTGTGACATAATGAATTGTGTGACAAGTTGGGCACAATTGACATATATGCTCCAACTTGAGGGGGAGTGTTGTAACATGTGGCGGCCTAGTAGGGGCATTTTTGGTTTTTCCTATGTTATTTGTTATAAGTTGTCGCCCCAAGTATAAATATTAACTTAGGCACCACCAACCTAACACTGAATAGAACTTTTCTTTCTTCTCTCTTCCTTCTCCTTTTCTCTCTTTTATTACTGCCAAACTACAGAATTGAAATATGTATAAATGCATTACAGGTTAATTACATTTAGTTAAGTATAAACTTCATTACCAGAATTGTTATCATAATGATAAAGTAATTTAATTTAACAAGGAAGTTCTTTTTAATCATTTTTGTTTGTTGAAATACTTTTAAGGTAGTATACTACCTTATAAGGTAGTTAAGTATATACTTTTAGCTTTGTTTGTTATTTTATCCCTTCTTTATAAGGTAGTTTTGGGCATATTTTATTTTCTGTTTTTCACCTTTTTGTGGGAGATTATATAAATCATTTTCTTTGCTTTACAAGACCAGGGATTACTGGCCTTTTATTTATGCTATGAGGTGATATAAATAATAGAAAGAGACTACATGCCTCATACTCTTTCCTCTCCAAAACCTGTTTTCTCTTTCTTCCTTCATCCTTCTAATTCTTTCTTCTATTTTTTCCTTCTCTTTTTCTTCTAAAATAATACATCTACACTCTGAATGTACAAGATGATTTTTGCCTGGTTTGAATGAGCTGATCGATCTGCATTAGTTGCCTGGTTTAAGATGATTTTTGGAGACTTTGGTTGAAGGTTAATTGTTACCCAAGAAGGGATCTTGGAGATTTTCCTAAAAATCAAGACAAGCCAGACAATGCTAAAAGAAAATTTTGAGAGCCTTATTGAGAAGTTTTTGGAGTGGCTTGGAATGATTACATCGTAATATAGTAGGCAATTTTTGTTTTGTTGAAACCTGGTGCCTTTCAAGTGAAAGCCCTCTATTTCTCCCTTTATCCCCTGGTTCACAGTTTGGGGTCAACCTTTGTTCCTGATTTTCACCTTGGGATTGATTTAAACTTTTTGCTTTCCAAAAATCTGAGAAAATAGCTTTACAATGGAAGAGAACGGGAATTGTAATTTTGGAGCTTAGGAGTGCAACTTGGGTGAACTTGGTTGAACATTTGTTAAATTTTGGCAGGGTACATGCTTGGAAAATATTTGAATTGGGTGTCTTAGTTGCACTGCTACTGGGGCCTTAAACCAGAACTGTGGAATCCAGAATTTGGATCCTTTTATCTTTTTCATATAGATGATTTTGGCATTTTTCATTATTAATCTTCTCATCTGGGCATATGATAACTTCAATTATTTTCTTGTTTGATCAGCATCTTTGATTTCATTCTTCTTTTCTGTGAAATTCTTGAACCTCTAACTGTATATTTCTGTCGTTGTTGCAACCATATAACTAGGGGGACATTTCCATTACAAATCTGACAAGCTAGAAAGGCGGATATAACATCTCCGGATGTACCCAAGATTCACTAAAGGAGCCAAGTCATATCGGATGTATTGGATGTAGAATCTTCCACATGCAATGTGTGTTCTCTAATAGTAATAGAGAAAAAACTACGACCAGTTATTCTTTTAAGAATAGTTGCAAGAATATTTTAATAACGACAACTGCCTTATGGATTTTGTAATTCCAGGTGCTTCTCATCTTAAATAGTTCATACACTATTTTAGATTTTTAGTTACTGCCCGAACCATGCCTTCTTAAAATTGGTGTTATGTAAGGGTACAGATCAAACCTCAAAAACCTCCTATATCAGAAGTAACCAGGAAGAATAACTCCCTCTATCTTCCAAGCAATTGGGAATTTACATTCTTCAGTCAAAAATTCCCATATCTGTGAAGCAACGTAAAACTCATATGACCTATTATGCTGCAAATTATTCCATTTGGGGCCTAGGATTTATTTCCAGTGGTGATAGCTAACCATAAAGTCATTAATCAAGATAAACGTACTGTCACCACATACAAAGATGTTTGCTATCTCAACAAGGGTTTGAATCTAGTAATATATGTAGCTGTAAAGCTGTTTTTTACTTCTATTTTGTTGTATTTGCATTAACTTGAGGAATACAGTCTCAGATATATGCACATTATGAAGCTGTGATGTGTGAAACTGTAATGATTTGTCCCTTTGTTTATTTGAAAATTGCAAATTGGACAAATAAACACATTTTAAGCCCTAAATAGTTCTTCTTGAGTTCAGTTTTAGTGGACTAAAAGGTGTGTCAATTCCTTGGCAGACTCTTTGGCCAAGCAAGGGGTGGGAAGAGCTATTCTTTTCTGGGCAACTTTGTAATATGAAGTAAACTTTCAGGGAGGGTTAAGAGATCTTACCCCTCCCTCCTGTTGTATCATCCTTTTTAATCTCTTTATTAATAAAAGTTTCTGTTATTTATCCAAAAAAAAAAGTTCTTCTTGAGTTCAAGAAGATTCACCATTCACCTTTGATAAGTTCACAACAACCAATGAAAATAAGTTCCTAATTGCAGAGTAAGTTATGGCAAGATACTATGAAACCAATAAGCCAAGGCTATCTCATTGTTTAGAGCTTCAGTAGCGTTTCTTCCTTTCTGTAAGATTGTAATATTTCTCTCTCACTCTCTCTCTTTTCTTTCAAATCTATTTCTGGGAAAAGAAATACCAACAAAAAGTAGCCAAGGTAGCAGAAATCATTCCATGGACTCAATTAGGATAGAACCCGAACAAGGTTCGCTCTACTTCTTTCTACAAGACAAAAAAAGAAAAAAAAAAAAAAAAAACTCACAGTTCTGCTCACAAAATTCTTACTTTACCCTTTTTATTTTACATGTAACCATCACAAAAGAAATGCATATTTAGTTCAAAATTATACCACGAAGTTCACCATTTTGTTTATGTAGGCATTTCAGATTTTATCCATTCCACAATGTATAATGAGAACATCTGTATGAAATGAAAGAAGCATACTCTTCAAATAACCACTAAATTATGTAATTATAAAAGTGAACTTGCTTTACCTCTGTTACCAGAATGAGGCACATTGGGCAGCCCATGTACCTGAAGCCTTGTCTTGATCACGTCCAAAGGGCATACAAATGTGGCAGCAATAGCTCCTATAATGTAGAACTGTTAGACAAATTACGCAAATTCCAATACGAAACCCAGCATGAAGTAAAGCACAACTACGTATCAGAAAAGATAAAAGCACAAGTTTTGAACAAATTATGCAAATTCCAATATGAAACCAGTATGAACTAAAGCTTCAATTTTCTTTTATAGCACAGAATTCCATAATTCAAAATCATTACCCTTTAGTGGTTAGGATCACAATATGCTAGAAGAACGGAGGAAAACCCAAAAGAGAAAAACTTAAACCCTAACTCGGATCGAACAGACTTCTAAAAATTCAGAACTTTTAACAGAAACCAAGGATGACGATGAGAAACAAACCTGCGGCTGCACCTGCACAGGCGTTGCAAAGAAGATCTGTGGTGGTTGGACCTTCCAACGACTCTCGGGTCATCGTGGAAGTAAACAAAGCGGAGAATTCGAAACTTCAGTAAGGTTAAGAACTCGCGAGTTGTGATCCGGAGATTCGATGGCGAAAACAAGACGGTTTCGCATGGACATGGTCAGAACATATATCCTTCGTCGAGTGGTCACATCAACTTGCACGCAGCGGCAATGAACGTGTTGGTTCGTTCTTTGAATCAAAGATGGTAAATGATAAGAAGAGAATGCTTTCTCATATTCCTTTCCATGCTTTTTTTTCTCTTCAGAAAACGTAGTTTCGCTGGTACATTCCTTTGTTTTCGGTTTTAGAATCTTGCCGGGTTATAGACGGCGAGCTGACCATCTGACTGATTCGTGCTTAGAATCTTTGTAGTGGAGAGAGAGAAAGCTTTGAACGGCGAATTCCCCCGATGATGATTGCTGAATTGCTGATCTGATGATCTATTATTCTATCATTCTATATTCTAATTCTAATGGTAGTAACTAAAAGCTTTACCGAAAAAAAAATACAAAAATTAAAGAGTGAAACTGGTCCCCTCGATGAACGGCCCTCTCGATTTCTTTCAGTCACCTGACTGGCATAAAAGCGATGGCAATGATTTGCCATGTCACCGTTTCCTCAAAGCGGGCCACACTGCAAGTTCCAATCCAGTGAAAGACTAAAGAGAGAGGGAACCAATAGTTTTCTTCCAGTTTAAAATGGCTTGAGACCATTTTTCCGAAATAGATAATTCTGAGTTCCTGACGTTCGATGCATTTCTCTATTGGAATCTGAATGACTTCCTATGAATGGAAACGATGATTTTTATAAGCATGATTGGTTTGGCAATATAAAGTAATAGAACGCAGTGTACCTACCATTAGGTGTAGGTTAAGTTCATGTGGGTTGAAGGCTGTCCCTCTCACTTACCTTCCATACCTATTTTTTTTTTTTTTTGTAGAAATATTAATAATACCTATTTGTGAGGCATATATATTTGGTTTGCAAGTTGCAACCGAACCAAGATTGGAAAGTGCATGTGGATGTCAAGAGAGATAGATCCAATGGGTACCTATTATGTTTATGCACCCAATCGGCCCATAGGAGTGCAATTTGGGCCAAAGTTCGGGTTGGTATTTTGTTAAATTTTGAATAAGCCCGGCCATAATCTCCTGCCCCGTTCCCACACTTCCAACATCCCTATGGATAAGTAGTAACTGCAAGTGGTGAACGTGAAAGTTTACAGATTGAGTAGGAGTGTCAATGGACCGGTTTGTTTAAAATCAATTTGGACAGATTGGATGGATTAATAAAATATATTGAATTAATTAATTCAAACTTAATGATCCAAAATATTTATTGCACTGGCTTAGATTGGACTTGATCCATTCATGTAATGGATTTATATTGGATTAAATTAGATTGAACCAATATCCAGTCTGTTAATAGAAGAGAAGATAAGAATATAGGTGTCAATGGACTAGGTTTGGATTGGAGCAAATCTAAATTAAAACCAATTTGGAACACATTTGACAGTCCAGACATTGAATTTTGGGACTGATCCAAAATGATCTAAAATATTCATCAAATTGGACTGAACTAGTCCATTTGTGATGGACTCATATTGGACTGGATCAGATTGGACCAAATCCCATCCATTTAACACCCTTAGGATTGAGTAGAATTCTAATGTGAAATAACTTTGGTTTGTTTCAACATAAAGATGCTGCGCATTTTCTTTTCTACAATATTTCAGCTATACTTTTGCCCCTTTAATAGCTAAAGTTTTGTTTTCACCCTCGCAACTGCCCTACAAACAAAATCAATATATTTTTCCTAATACGGCAGTTGTTTTTGTTACAACGTCAGACATGTTGACAAACACCCCCTTATATGGAGTCTATATTCACAAATCTCAACTACAGCCCCATCATGACAACATACAGGTTCGAAACATGATTGATGCGTGGCTATAGATCGTGTTAGAAGATATGTTGGTAGTATCTTATGGTGGCAGTCTAGCAGATCTGGTCTCCTCAAATGTCCAAACAAATACAACTTAGATGAAATTGTTATATAAGTTTAGATTTCAACAAAACTGTGTTGCTTATAATCCAACCCACCCCTGTTAAAGACCCTAAATAATTAAGATCTACATTGGGTAATGGCCTTTTTTTTATTTCATTAAGGCTCAGTCTGGAAGGAGTATAGATGCAAATATGTAGAGTACAAAACCTTATATTTTGTATTATTTTGTATGCATTTGCATTGTACATATTTGTATTTGTACTCTTTTCAAACTGAGCCTAATTGTTCCTTTGGCTCAATTTGGAAAGAGTACAAATACAAATATGTACAGTGCAAATATATACAAAATAATACAAAATACAATATTTTGCACTCTATATATTTGCATTTGGCTCAATTTGGAAAGAGTACAAATACAAATATGTACAATGCAAATATATACAAAATAATACAAAATACAATATTTTGCCCTCTACATATTTGCATTTGTACTCCTTCCAAACTGAGCCTAAATAAAAATTGTGGGCAAAAAGTGCAACTCCAACCAGTATCCTTTTTTAACAAACCAGTGGAAGAATTGGTAAGTTTTCTTGTTCGTTGTTAGTTAGGCTTGGTTTGGAAGGTGTACAAATACAAATATGTAGTGCAAAATTTTGTATTTTATATTATTTTGTATGCATTTGTACTGTATATAGTTGTATTAGCACTCCTTCCAAACTCAACCTTAAGTTGTATTTGATTGCGGTACAAATGTAGAACCAAGGTATTGATGCACCCCGGTTCAGATTTGTGAATGTTAGAAATACAAAATGCAATGATTCAGCAATGAAAAATGTCTTTTCTGACATTTTCATAGCATGAGGAGAATGTATTACTACAAGATTAGTTACAGGAGGAGAGTGTAGATATTACATGATTGGTGGAAAGCCACTTGGCAACTTGCCTTCCACGTGGACAAGATTAGTTACATCCTAAGGCCTTTTGTTAACATGTCACAGCAGGTTGTGACATGTCACAGTGGTGGTAATGTGGTTGAGATGAATTGTCTTATGTTGGACATGTTCACAAACAAAGTGACGGTCAATGTCAATGTGCTTAGTTCATTCCTGAAATACTGGATTGTTGGCGATATGTATTGCTGTCTGACTGCACAAGGAGTTGGACTGGTTGTGTACAAGTAAGTCCAAAATCACGAAGTAGACTAAGTAACCATAGAACTTCACTGGTAGCAAGAGCCATAGCACGATATTCAACCTCTGCAGAAGACCTTGCAACTGCTACTTGCTTCTTTGTCTCCTAAGAGATGAGTTCTTTGTCTAACATGGTGACATAACCGGTTGTGGGCCATTTGGTAACTGGACAGGAGGCCCAATTAGAGTCACAGTATGCCTGGACAAACAAATCATTGGAGACAAAGAAGAAGATTCCTTGACAAGGTGCTCCCTTGATGTATCGAATAACACGCTTGGCAGCCTACATGTGTTCCTCTTTGGGAGCACTAAGATGCTTAGTAAGAACGTGAACTGGATAGCTCAATTCAGGCTGAGTGATAATGAGATAAACAAGTTGGCCTACCAACCTTCTATATGGCATGGGGTCTTCAAGTGGAGGACTAGAATTGAACCATCATTGTTGTTCCACGGGGCGAGAAATAGATACGCATTCAAGCATGCCCATGTCAGATATGATGTCCATAGCATACTTGTGTTGAGACACAAAAGTGCCTGTGGAGAACCTAGTGATTTCCAATCCCAAAAAAATAGTGTATAGAGCCAAGGTCCTTGATTCGAAAACATTCATCCGGATAGGATTTCAAGGCTTGGATGTGAAAGGGATCATTAGCAGTAATGACTAAATCATCAACATAAACAAGGATAGCCACGAATGAGTCCCCTTGAGTAGATGTAAACAAAGAGTAGTCAGTAATGGATTGAGTGAAACCAATGCCTTTGAAAGCAAAAGCGAACTTTTCAAACCAACAACAGGAAGCTTGTTTTAAACCATATAAAGACTTTTGAAATTTGCAAACTTTATTTTTGTCATACTTCAGAAATCCTGGGGGAATTCTCATGTAAACCTCTTCTGATAAATCACCATGCAAGAAAAGCATTGTTGACGTTGAGTTGGTGTAATTCCCAACCTTTGACAGCTGCCACAGATAATATGCATCGAAGTGTTACCAATTTTGCCATAGGTGCATAGGTGTCGTGGTAATCATACCCTTCAACTTGGGTATATCCCTTTGCAACGAGGTGTGCCTTGTAGCCATCAATGGTACCATCTGTAGGTAAGGTGGTGACTAGGCTAGAGAGGTGATCTCTTTGAAGGACAGAGGAAGACCGAGAACTGGGAATTAACCGGAAGGCTAGGGCAAAGGGGAGTGATGAGACAGTTTAGCCAAGAGATCGGTGACAAGGGTAATCAGTGATTGAATGAATGACCTTTGTTATGAGAATGATCTTTATTTATGGGGAAGATCCTGAGATCCTGAAAGGAATGAGCTAAAGGTGTTTGTTTTCTACTAGGAAAATGAATATTAGATTCGCTATTAATCATTAAGGAGCATTGTTGGGGTTTTGCCACGTATCCCTATGGGAATCTTTCCGATGATTGACTTTCCTTTTACTCGAAAATCCTCATAACCCATGTGTGCTACTACCCTTTTGCACCTTACTTAACTAACATGGCACTAGTGACATCACTCTTTGGCGTACAATGTCTTGTTAGACCTATGTGGCGCCTTGTCACGTTCGTCACTTCGAAGTTACACGTGTAGGTAATATCTGGGCCCGATTCTTAACGAATCGGGATCCCGTAGCAATTGAGGATTTACCGCGGGATCGGGTGCATACGAACTTCATCGCAGGTTCAGGCTGAGTTTGCTTTGGGCTTGTGCTAAAAATAGGTTCGTCGCAAGTGTGTGTGTGATGAACCATGGGTTCATCACAAACCTACGATGCACTATAGGTTCATTACAGAGGAAAGATGGGTTACAGGCTGATCACAAGCATCCATGTGGTATCAATTTAGTGTTTACTGTGCTTTAAGGGACTGAGCGAACATTATGCACCTACACCATCAGCCTTATACTTGAGCTTATAGACCCATTTGGAACCAATGGGATGCTTTCCATAAGGAAGGTCAACAATGGACCAAGTCTTGTTTTGCTCTAGTGCTTTAATTTCTTCTTGCATGGCCTGATGCCAATTGGAATCTCGAGAAGCTTGAGTATATGATGTAGACTCTATGATGGCAAAAATTTGTGAGCCATCAATGTGGGGCTGATGTGTAGGACCATAGCAAACATAATCACGAAGGTAGTTTGGTGGCCTTCGATTTCAAGTGTGCTTGGTTGATGGGGCTAGTAAGTTGCCGGTGTTTGGCCCATTAGAAGACTCACTAGGAATGAGTTCGGTTTCATATGATGTTGGCTCAAGGATAGAGTGAAAATTGGAATCAAGCCTATTATGGTGTTCAATGGGTGCAATGATGTCATCTTCAAGTTGTGGAAGAGGTATTACAACATTCGGAAGACCATGACTTTGAGATGTTTTGGTAATATCAGCATAAGGAAAAGTGGTCTCGTACAAATTACATCTCAGGAGGTGAAGATATGTCGTGTGGCTAAGTTATAAACTCGATATCCTTTTTGACCACATAGGTAGCCAACGAACAAGAATTGGACAGCTCTAGGGGCAAACTTGCCACCAGAAAGGGGTCGTTCTTGTGCATAGCATAAGCAACCAAATGTTCAAAAATGATCATAGGTTGGTGGCTTACTAAAAATTATTCAAATGGGTTTTTGCCATGTAGGGGTGTAGATGGTAGATGATTGATGATGTAGGCAATTGTTATCACGCATTCACCCCAAAATGAGTTGGGTAAAGAAGCGTGGAATTGAAGGGCTTGTGCTACCTCCAAAAGGTGGTGGTGCTTTCTTTCAACAATACCATTTTGTTGAGGGGAATCAATACAAGAGTGGTGATTGATTACCCATGTGTAGAAAAAAAATTTAGAATAGGTCCAAAGAAAATTTCTTTCCCATTATCAAATCTAACCATCTTGATTTTTCAATCAAATTGTGTAAAAACCATGTTGTAAAATGATACAAGTAGTTGATAGGTTTCAGACTTTTATTTCATAAGAAATAACCAAGTACAACAGTTATAGTCATCAACAAATGTGAGAAAAAACTTGGACTAGATAAGGAAGGTGTGCAATATGCTCTCCATATGTCGTAGTGTATGAGATCAAATGGTGTTGATGCTTGTGTGGAGCTTATTGGAAATGGGATACGTGCATGTTTAGCTCGTTCACAAGCATCACAAGCACCCTCTACTTGTGAAAGAAGGCACCCATCAAAACAGAGAGAAAGTTGTTGAACAAAGGGATGTCCAAGGCGGTTGTGCCATGTCTGGTACTCTTTATTAATATAGGTAGATGTCATTCCACAATTCTCCTTGGCTAATCAAACTGTGAGAGACTGGGCCCTATATTGTTCAAGGTTTGGAGAAAAACAATATGGTACAATGCAATTGAGATATTAATTTGCTAATTAACAGTAAATTATGTTTAAATTGGGGAACATAAAGGACATCTATGATGGTTAGGTTGGGCCGCAAGAGAACTGTCCCTTTGTAAGTGGCTTTCAAGGTGGAACCATCAGGTAAGCAAATTAAAGGTTGCATAGTTAAAGTTTCAGGATGCAGCAGTAGATCCTTATTGGAGGTCATATGATGGGATGCTCCACTATCTAAGACCCAAGTACTTGAGTGATCAGTGGAACAAGGAGTCTTACCAACCATATTTGCAACAACAGATGTATTAGTAGAATTGTTGGTAAGAATCTGCAATAGTTGAGTGTATTGCTCATGCAGGAGATCTGCGATTGATGAGTCTGTGAGAGGATCAAACTGTACACAATTTGTTATGGTCTGGAAATGACTATTCTTGGATTTGTTAGATGTTTTGCCTTTTTCCCATCCCTTAAGATAGCCATTCAATTCATAGCAACATTCCTTTGTGTGATCTTGCTTTTGCAATGATTACATTACTTGGTCGTTGTGCAGAAGTTTAAAGGGCAGCAACATCAAGGGTCATGTTTCCTTTTTGAGAAAGCACGGCTTGGTGTTTCTCTTCTTGTACCAACAAGGCATAGGAATGATTAACACTAGGCAAAGGATCAGAAGCAAGAATACCCGATCGGACGCTGTTGAAGGTGTCATTGAGGCCCATTAAGAACCGGTTGAGCCTCTCTTTCACGATCTACAATCATCTCCTTAGAGGTGCCGTAGGTGCAAGCAGGTATTGGTGTGAGAGTTGCAAGTTCATTCCAGATTCCTTTCAGCTTTGTAAATATGTAGCTACAATATCTTCTCCTTGGTGCAAGAATGAGAGATTTCTTTTGAGTTCGTAGATTCGCAAAGCATTGCTCTGTTTGAATTGTTCTTGAAGATCGGACCAAATTTCCCTTGTGAACTCAATGTATGCAACACTCTGATGCAACTTTCAGGAAAGAGAATTAAAGATTCAAGAAATGACCATGGAGTTGCACTTGGACCATGATCTTTCCTCTGTCGAACTAGATTTAGGTCTTTGAAGACGGCCGTTGATGAAACCATACTTATTTTTTGCCTTCAAAGAGTTCCTTATGGCTTGCTGCCATGTTGCATAGTTATCTCCTGTTAGAGGACAAGAGACTAGAATCGGCCCTAGGTTGTTTGAGGGGTGTAAGTAGTACGATGAGTTTGGATTCAGATGATCATTCATATTTTCAACAAGATTGACTGAAGCTATAGAATTCGTCAGAATGTAAAGCTAGAAACAATGGTGGGAGCTAGAACACAAATAGGGGTACGCTAGGAACAATGGTGGAAGCTGGAATACAGACAGATAGGGGCAGCTGAGGTAGAGTCGATTGTTATCACTCTGATACCATGACAAAGACAAATTCAGTGGAAGCCACTTGGCAACTTGCCTTCCACATGGACAAGATTAGTTACAACAGATTCTTTCTTGTTAACAGCTACGGAAAGTTGAAAGTATACAATCTACGGAACGTTCATTTTCTACAAAATCAGTGTCACTAATCTGGTGTTGTGTCATTGTCGTCCATGATAAATATGCCAAGAAACGAAAATACCGCTTCCAAAAAACTTTAACTTTGCCAGCAACGATGCTGTACAGATTGGCACCCCCTCTATCGTCATCGACAACGTCACATCTTCCTCCAGCACGGTTCTTTGTGACCTCTACACCATCAAAGAATGGCGCAAGTCCGTTGATGAACATAGGCCTTACAACGGAAAGGAAGATGGAACAAAAGAGGGGATAGTAAATTTTTCTTGGGTAAATTTCTTAAAGGTTTAGTTAATTGACCAAGTATGTCTTTTATTGTTTGAAAATTAACCAACACTACCCCTATTTGATTAACTCTACTTTATCATTAAGATCTTTAATATTCCATCAAAATTCATTCATATGTAATATATATTTTTTAAAACCCAATTTTACCCTCCACCTCCTTCCCCCTCTTTCTCTCTCAAGCTCATGCTGAAAGGATGAGGGGTTTCACCGTGCTCTTCGTAAGTTATCTGAAGTTCCTCTCAAACCTCAAAATAAACTAAGTCGTCAAGGCAGGCCGAACGACCACTTAAAGCTCAACCCCCTGTAATCACTACCATTGGATGTTGTAAGGAAACATCTTACACTACAAAAATTTGTACAGTTTACAGTTTGATCATCAGCTCTGATTGCAGAGTGCCCATGTGGACGGCATTGGATTTGAAATTAGAAATAATAGGAGAGAACAAATTGGGCAAAAATTGTGGAATTGATATCAGACCAATCGCTTAATCAAACAAGAAAAGACGTAGAAACTCCGTCGAGATTGATCACTGCACTGAGAACAAGACACGTTAATGCCACTGCAACGAAGAGAATCATACCCGTTAGTATCCGGCGACTGAGAGAGTCGGAATCCGGTAACATTTTGGATGGGTTTCCAACGATAGAGCGGTTTTCTACAGTGAGATGTCTTCTGTAATCAGGAAAAAATGGAAGAAATCACGAGACAAACATTTATTATAAGGGCTTTAGATGAAAAAACTAGAAAAAAGCAGAGATGACAAAAGAGATGAGAGCGAATAAGGCCTAGAGCTGACAGTCTGGCACTGGTTTTTATGGAGGAGGTTTCTTTTCCGAGCGTAGGGTGTCCACAGTTTTCAGTTCATTTCATTTTTAAGAGATGCAAGAAAAGGAGCAATTTATGGAAGAGATTTGTTGCCGAGCGTTATATGAAGAGTGTTGCCACAGTTCTGATTAATTCTGCCATAGTCGCTAATAAGAGAAGCTGATTTGGAAGTCCGGCACAGTTTCCGTCGCTGACATCTTCGTCTTTGATGCTGGGGCTGGGTTTGGATGGAGCCCAAACCCAAGATGCAGCAACTTTAAATCGAGCCTGGCATGTTATGATTTTGCTCTCATTGTTTCAGCCACTCTGTCGCTCTTTAAACGGTCTTGGGCTTTCCTTTTTATATGGAGATTTCATCGGGAAACCCAAGAGATGCAGTGAGGGGAGAGGATGAGGACGGAAATGGAGGGGAAGTGACACCAAGGGTTCAATCTCTGTCGGTTTTGTCTGGGTCTACCGCTGCAAAGTTGCAGCGGCAGAAATGGTGTCTGGATGGGGATAACATGGAAAGAGATATAGAGGGAGAAGAGAAATGGAAGAGCAACAACAGTGGTCTTTCTTTCCTTTGGATTTGTCTGCAGAGCCGTTTCTGAAGGATGTTGTTTATGAAGAATGGTAGGAACGAGAGGGGAAGAGCAGCAATGGTGGCATCTTGCGTGCAGGGGAGAACGTCAGTCTCTCTGTGAGAGGTTTTTGCAACAACGAAACCCATGAGGTCTCTCTATCTCCTTCACCTTCGTTCTCTCTCGTTCCCTTTTTCTATTTCAATCACCATATAGTCATATACTTTTGATGTATGTTTATTTTGAGGTTTCGTTGGGTTTAAAAAGGTTAGGGTTTTGATGAACTAACGTTTCTTTTCCTTTTTTCTGTAACAGTACATTTAATTAATTAGCTAAACGATAAGTATAGTTTAAAAAATTTATCCATTTTTTTCGTTGGATTTTATTTTGAAAATTTAAGAAATAGTAGAGTAAATTTGATATTTTGTTTTTTCTGTTAATATTTACTGACAATGTGAGTTGTTAAAAACAGTAGGAATGATTTAAGACAACATGTAAATTTGCCATAAATTTTTTTCCTTGGTGAAATCGTGAAATGAATTTGAATTAAATAAAATATTAAAGATCCAAACAGATCGGAAATCAGTCTGACATCTCCTGAAAATTTTAGATTGAAGTCAGATTTAATCAAATCGTACTTAAATGTGGTTGGGCCAATTCCAAATCCAAATATAACCCGATTACAAGTTTACAACCCATGAAAGGACATTCCCAACTTTTTTCTAGCCGTATCTTTCCATGAATCCGCCATGTCTCTAGACTTTGACGATTTTTTTTTTTTTTTTAGTTCAGTATATATAACAAAAATTCTCTTAACAGGTACAAACTGCTGTTCCTTAAGCAGTTAAATATATTAATTACTGTCTCAGGTCTTGAAAATCGGCCACTTCGATTGATGACTTTGAACCACACCACTATAATCTGGAATAAGAAAATTATCATAAGACATGAAGCATCTTTCCAGAAGAAATGAGTTGAGGTTAATAGAGAGCTGCGACATCTCGTTTTTGCATACCTGATTTGCTTTTCATTGCCCCACTTTGTACGCATTCAAATGGATTTTGGCCTGCATAGAAGATACTATTAGACTGATCATGATGCATTTACAGTCTCTTCTCCCTCGTTTCTGCTGAATTCTTGAATAATTCCTTCACAGATTGACTTGGTTTGCTTCGGTATCTCCTCATTACTCCTCAGGAATCTCTTCATGTTTTCAACAGCTGTTTTCCCATCCATCGCTAATATCCTACAATAGAAAATACAAACAGGATTACTAACTGAGATCCAATTGGTCTAATAATAATAAGAACTCTGTCTGAGATAGAGAGAACAATCAATTATGGATCCTGCTTTCTGTTAGACCCAGTTCAGATTTGGATTTTGGACCCGGCCAAACTTGACCCAGTCACTGAACTATTGACTACCATGGAGTAACTCCTCGTGTCGTGTGTTATGTACTTAAGTCATATGTGTAAATGACTTGGCTAGTTAATTCGACCGAACGTCGGAACGTTGGCCGGCGAGTGGCGACCGTATCTCAAAACAGAAAATTGAAATCTACAATCCAAATGGCTTTGGCATAAAATATCACCCATATGGCGTCGCCCGGACTCGACCCGGAGACCTTCAGTGTGTTAGACTGACGTGATAACCAACTACACCACGACACCATCATTTGAAAGAACTGACTCTAAAATATACCCGTTAAGTTTGCAAGCGACATCTGAATCCACAAACTGCTCCGTGCTTCGCAAAGTCAAGCTCTCGCAAAGCCTATAATTCTTCTGCAAATAATACTTCTGATGTTGGTTTTCTGCGATAAAGAAATCAGAGCCACAGGGAATGATCTTTGTGACAATTCTTTTGTTCAGCTTCATCTGTCTTCTGATCTTCGACTCCTGCGCTTGCTTCCTCTGTTCCTCGTTCGCGTAAAATATCGCTGATCGAAAATGTGCAATAATCCCAAAATTCTGCAACAACCTTTGGTCAGGCAAAAGCGATAGAAAAGGGGATTATGAAAGTAAAATATCAAATAAATAACATTAGAAGAAAGGTGAAATTACTAGATATTCTTTGTTGGTGGGGTCGTGGAATTCCCAGAAGAAATCACAGAGGCTTCTGTATGACATCCTTCGCTTATCATATATGACTTTTACAGCTTCAGTATGGCCTGTGCGCCCCTCACAGACCTGAAAATCAAGAACAAAAAACTTATTTCTGTCAAAATTTAGAAATAAAACAAAAATGGGACTAAAAAGTATTTAAAATGGGTCTTCAAGATTTTTAGTTTTTCCTTTACCCTGATAATCACCTCTCTATATGTAGGCTTCGTAAGGGTTCCTCCACAATAGCCTGTAGCCGTTTTCACGACTCCATCTAAACGCCCAAATGCAGCTTCCAGTCCCCAAAAGCTACCTGCAGTGACCACAAATTTAATTAGTTCCAAGAGAAGAGCCGATAAACTGCTATCTGAATACTGAGAGAGAGGGTTGCACCTCCGGCGAAAACTGCTTCCTGGAGAAATTCTGTCGGGATACTAGGTGCCGTTGTGGCATGTGACAGGGGAAAATCATGAATTTTGGGTTGGGGAAGTAAATGGTACATGATAAATAAGAAAAAAAAAAATGCAACTTAAAAGCAAAGTTTAGCTTGCTGGGCTGCGTTCATGTCTCTCACTCTGTGCGATGCAGATGCATATATATGGTTAAGAGTCAGAGATGCGTGGTTTTGTGAAGACAGAAAGCTCAAGTCAATTAAGCAGCTTTGTGGTGTAAGTCTGAACGCCTGAGTTTCCGTCATAAGCCGTGTTGAAAGCACCAAACAAACACGTGGAAAGGGGTGCGGATAAGTTGATAACAATTGTGATATTTTTCCCTTGCTTTCTTCCTGGCTTCTTAAGTTCGGGGCCCATATGGCCTTAATTATCATGTGAGCTTTCTAATTAAATTATTTACGATATATGGCTATCTCGACATCTAACCATTCATTTTCCCATTTACGGGTCCGGCTGAACTAATATCCATTGGCTCTGTCTGTTTGTGGTGTAAATCTCAATCTCAGTTCGAATCTATTCCTTACAGAGTGCGTCTCACACCGACTTTATAAATATTGTTGTCATACATCGAGAACATTATTTAGGGAGGAGATGCTTCCAATATAAGGTAGGTTGTGACCGTGAGGTCGATCGGTGTGAGGCACAGTACGTGAGGAGAATCCAGATCCCAATTCCACTCTGGTTCAGTTTTATATTTATTTATTTGTGATTATGGTTTGCACTTCAATTTGATTAAAACTAAACATTTTTAACACTTGTATGGTTTTGATGCTCCAAATAAGATTGTAGTTTTCTATTGCATTTGTGACGGCCTACTTCATCTCCAATTATCACGAAGAGGGTATTTCATGAATCATGATTTAACATGTGATTTGTAAGAGGGATGAAAAGTATTTCTGTTGTAAATTACTTTTTTGCACCGTCTAAATTGCATCCATGAAGCCCTTGTCCCATGAGATATGGATCCAATGGTTGAAACTTGAAAACACCATAACAACGTTGCAGCACTTCTTCTCAAATCACTGACTTTTTTCCTTTATCTTTAATTTGGGTTAGGCTATGATATAAGAAAAATTCTGGATTCCACTATGATACCAGAAAAATTTTGACCAATCAATCACTATTTATCGAAATTCACTTGGGGGATTTGATTGATCAAAATCCTATTCTATTGGAGTTTTGGTATCATGTCTTTTCAATAATATAGACTTTTTTCTTCTTTTTTTCTTTCTTTTACATTCTTTGTGATAAACGTTACACAACCCATTTCAACTGAATTGGTCGTTCAGCCCTAACCCTTTGGACACTGATGTCAAGCTAATATGCCGGTTTAGGGCGTATTGGTTTATACTATATTGTGTCTTTATTTTTGTTTTTTTAGGGTCCATTTGCTTTGTAGTCGGAATCTAAATTGAAATCTGATGATGCGTAATCTGGCCGGTCCTACCTGTCAACGACCTTGCCTCTGAACTGAGTAACGGGGAACCTGAAACGGAGAAGATGAGGAAGCTCTGAGGAGAACCCGGTGTAAAGGCTCCGAAGCTTAAGTTAGAATCCTTCAAAGGCAAGATAAACCAGATAGCGCAAAATTTGCATACCTCCTCTTTAGGGGTGGAGAGCCTTTTATAACCACCTCGCGCACTCACTCCTAGACTCCTATTAGGTCGGGAATGAGTATTGCCGTGCTTCTGCCAGTTCGGGCGTCATCGCCTCTACTGGGGCAGAACCGTCACTGTTCCTTTTGTCGGAGCCGTCTCTGTAACTGGAGGTAGCGGTGACAGGTGACGATGGCAGGTGGCCATTTGAAATGCGGCCGTCAAGCGTCAGATCCCAAGTCAGTCGGGTGTGTCGCCCCTAGATACGGAC